AAAAGGGCACTCTGTGTATGCTCAGAGGTACCCACGGCGTGCCACGAAGGGGCTTCTCTATTCATACCACAGGGAAATGCATGGGATGGGTCAGGCCATAAAAGGTATATGTCATCTAGCTAGATAGGTTTGGGTATCCGGCTGTGGAGTCCGGGGTTGGGAGTTCGAATCCCCACGGGGGCCTCCTTGACAGGGTGAGACCTAATTATCTACCAGGTCCCTTCCCGCTCTGCCATTCTCAGAGGATGACAATTATATTTAAAGCACTGACGAGCCAAAGGGAAATGAGACGCAGCCTTAAGTCCCACATCCAGACAAGACTGGGAGCCAATTTGGGAGAAAATAGAGAAATCAGTGGGGCAGCGGGCAGGCAGGAAGGGATTCTAATAAATGCTTCGGGGTGGGTCTCGGCAATAAAAAAAAAAAAGAGTTGGGGGAAAACGTGGGATGAGGATCCATCCAGGGCAACCGGTTTGGCAGGCTCCTCCAGAGGAGGCCACCCCGAAGCCGGATGCTCCCTGGGAAGACATTCGGGTGGAAGGGCCCCTCCGCTCTTGGGAAGCCAAGCTGGCCAACAAACAAATCCCAACTCTCCTTCCTCCCCCCCCCAACGCCAGTCCCATCCCTCGGCTGTCATTTACGAGGGCGCGTTTCTTTGCCAGCCCCTTTGTTTATCCCTTCCCGAAGGTTTCCCCGGGGTGGAGCAACGTCTACCGAATGGCTTTTATTAGGAGCTCAGAGAGCGCAATAGTAATGGTCAGTCCACCATGCGAGGATGGACGGCGACCCATTTAAAGGTTTTCCAAGGAGGGAAATACTCAGAAGTGGATTCCCCTCCCCTTCTTCTTCTGGGGACACCCCAGAGTGGGACAGCTTTTACCCAGCCCCCCCAGGCTGGTTCTTCTCCCCCAGGAGGCACCCAGTGGGGGATTCGAACGCCGAAACTCTGGCTCCGCAGCCAGAGACCTCTGAGCTCTTCAGCCTCTTAGGATGAATCAGAACTGCACAGCCTACCTCACAGGGGTGGCGCATAGATAAAAGGGGAGGCGGAGGAGAACCAAGCCCGGTGGGTTGCACTCTCCGGAAGGAAGAAAAGAGAAAGCGAGAGAGGGGCTAAGCAAGCAAAGCGGAGCCAACCCAAAAGAAATATACAGTGGTGCCTCGCAAGACGAGCGCTTCATTTAACAATGAAATCGCAAAAGCAATCGCAAAACAATGTTTCCTATGGGTTTTTTTCGCTTTGCAATGATCGGTTACCTGCTTCGCTAACCGATTATCGCAAAACGAAGATTTTTGCACAGCTGATTGGCGGTTTCAAAATGGCCACCAGGTAAAAAAATGGCTGCCTGCTGTTTTCTGGAACGGATTCCTCGCTGCACGGGCAGCGAAAATGGCCGTGCTATGGAAGATCTTCGCTGGACAGTGAGTTTCAAGCGCATAGAAACGTATTAATCAGGTTTTAATGCGTTTCTATGGGCTTTTTAAAATCGCTTCACGATGTTTCCGTTCGACAGCGATTTCACTGGAACAAATTAACATCGTAATGCGAGGCACCACTGTAGTTATTTATTTATTGCCTTTATGCCCGGCCTTTCCACTAAAATACAAAACAATTTAAAAAGAGCCCTCAAAGTGGTTTGCAAATTAGAAAATAACAGGAACAAATAAAATCACTTCGAGAAGGCATAGGATGGGGCAAAGACAAACTCACCCCCATTGGGTACATGGCCAATTTGAAAAAAAAACTTTCCATTTTGAAAGTTTTCCTCGCCGTACTTGAATGAGGAAAAGCAGGAAAAAGAACAATAAAGGACTTGATAGACAGACAGATAGACAGACATAAGGCACAACCCTGTCATCACTCAGCAATGGGCTAGACTGCACTTGTGCATGGAGGTTCCATTCCCAACTAACAGGCCCAATGAGAACACAGGAAGAGACTAGGGCCTCTCTAGCCGCCACAGGATACAGGCCAAACAGGACATAATGCAAGAGTCCTCGCTCCTATTGTCCTACCGCTAAAACTGTTACTGAGAGATAGACTGCTCATGAACACAGAGGCTCCATCTCTCTCTAACGTCCCAAAGACGACCCAGGGAGCAGCAAGGATTCAGCATCAGACCAAGGACTTATTCCATCTATTGTTGACAGAGGGGGTCAACCACCTGCCAGGAGGACATGCGGGCAGCAGCCCCTCTCCTGAACCCAAAGTGGAATTTTATAAGCCAACTGCCTCCAATGCCAGAGATCACACACAGCATAAAGGCAGGGCGGGCAGAAGATCACTTGATCCTCTCTATGAGCTGATCTAACCAGTGGTTCCTAAACCTTTTTCGGGGGGAGGGCATCATCCCGCAACCCGACACTCAGAATTTTTTTAAAAAGCCAATTTATCATTCCAAAATTAAAAAAAAAAACTTACAAGGACAAAATGAGGGCAGGTATTTTAAATGGCAAATCAGTCCTGCTCGTGTTTCTTGACACAAAAACGGAATAAAAATGCAGTTCACCCGAAGCAGCAGCAGCAGCAGAAAGAACAGAAACCGAACAGAGAGGTTGATGCTGTAACTCAGTCTTAATACCATGTGCCGGGGTGGTGGTGGTTTGCACACCTCCCTCAGTTTGGAAACCAAGGATCCAGTCCCCTTTTAAAGCCAAAAGTAGAGCATGTGCAGAAATCCAATCCCTAACAAACAAGCCCAAAAATAATCTAAGAAAGAAAAAACTCAGAAGTCTCATGTGACCATTCATAATCTAAGACAGGGTGCCCAAGAGCATAGAGGTTCCATTTGGGGAATATGCCAGGCTTTTTAAAAGGTGGGCTTTGCTTTCTTTGATCCTGGTTCTTTCATCACACCACGGATCCCTGCTGTGGTACGCCAAAACCCATCTCGTTGTGTCCAACCCCCCCCCCGCCGAAACAAGCCACGGTTCCTTAGGAAGCAGTAAACCACCATTAGAAGGCTTGCTTTAGCTGATCAACCTGGGCCTCTTCAAACCATGGCCTGCGGCGACACTCGCACGCAAGATGTCGGCTCGTTCTTGGCTTGTTCCCCCATCACCTGATCTGAACTCAGGAGCTGACAAAAGGGGTGGGAAAGAAACTCAAAAGAAAGAAACCAAGAGGATGGGTGCTTGGCCACGGTTTGTTTGATCACCTGCTGTGAAACTCCAGGGCTTCGCCAAGAAACTCTGGTTAAGGCAAACCATGGTTTATCGTGACATGTGGAGGTTAATTAATATGCGGTTGATGCAACTGGGTGCTATCTTCTGCCACCAAAACTACCAGTTCAGACCTATCCCCATACATCTCAAAGGCGGGGGCGGGGGGGTTACCTTTGAGTAGACCCACACAGAATGGCATTCTAAGTGCCGATATCAATCTCCCGATATCAATCTCCCAGGGAGAATGTTCAGCAGCCCAGGAATGAGAAAGTGGGGCCTCCTTCCCTCCCTCTTGACTTCAAAGACCAGCAATTAACCTCATTACATCTTAACGGCCTCAAGACAAACGTGACCTATGAGGCCCTGGTTTCTGTTGGAATGGTGTCTCAGCCATAACTTCAAATTAATTGCACTTTAATTGCTACCAGCTAAGCCACTGCATACCGTCAACCACACCTGCCTGTTCTATTTTCAGCCCCCCCAAAAAAAAATTAGCATGAAGTCTGGAATTCCATGCCCATAATTTCAGGTCTGAAAAAACTCTCCGTGGATCAACAACCACCCGTGACATAGCCAAACAACAAGCCGCTATAAAGCCAATTGGAGGCAACTGAAGACCCAACACAGGTGGTGAAATGGTTCGTTAGGTCTCTGGAGGCAGAAGTTGGGAGTTCGAATCCTCCCCCCCCCCCGGGCCTCCGGCAAGCAGAGCCCAGCCTGGCTGGCCTCGGCCAATTTGAACAGACCCCAGGATGCGCCTGGAGGAAAGGAAAAGTAGTGACCACGACATAGAAAAACCTGGAAATTGTTCCGAACTGACTTGAGGGCACATAATTCACCACCATCATCTTTGCACTGCAGAAATGGAAGGGACCCCATCATCATCGTTGTTGTAATTTTAGAACTGCAGAGCCGGAAGGGACCACTAAGGATCACCACGTCCAGCCTCCGTCCAGGAGGACCAGTGGGGGATTTGAATTCCCAACCTCTGGCTCTGCAGCCACAGACCTAAAACCCCTGAGCTATATTCGCATATATTCTATATGTTATTTCCAAAAAGGGCTAGGAAGATCCGAAGGAGAACAGTTAGTACAAATAAAATATATATATATGTATAGACTTCTGAAGCAGGAGTTAGGGAGACGAGAAGCACGGACTTACAGGAGACCCATCTGAGTCACCAAAAAGTCAAACCAAAGGCCCGGGGGGGGGGGGGGTTCAATGCAGACCTGAGCTAAAAGCAGCCACTTGAAAGAGGAGCTCCCAATTCCAGAACCAAAACCCCTCTGGAACAGGTCTTTCTCCCCCCCACACACACACCAAAGGCTCCGGGGTGTATCCGAAACGTCCATGTGGGGTATAACCATTCGCCTCCATTTTTCCCCATGTGTACCTAAGATAAACCTCAAGTGTACTGCTCACTTCCCTAAAATGTTTATAAATAAACATTTAACGGATAAATAAACAGATAAACAAACGCAGAAAAGCCTATCCCAAAAGATGTGTTTTTACCAATTTAAAGCAAAAGATTGCTCGTTTAAGCCTGTTTTCAGCTCCCCCCAAACGCCATCCCCCCCACAGCACAAAACCCCAGCCAAATCCAAACCAGCCGCGGTGAAACCCACGCCGCAGGTTCAAGGGGTGTTCCCCCCTTCCTTGTTGCACAGCACAGCTATTCCCTCTCCCATCATCTTCCGTCATCCTCTCTGCAACCGGCAAAACCTCAAAACCAGGGGGGCTTCTCCCCCATTCGGGAGGAAGAAAACCCATTGCCATCCAAGACAGAAACAGAGCGACAGACGAGGGTCATAAAGGACGGACAGCTGTCCTCTTACCTGAGGAAAATCGCCGTTTTTGGGTAAGAAATCGGAAAACCCCAGCGTCGCATAGTTGGTATCCGGAAAAAGCTGCCCGCCGATGGAATTTGCATAGAAATCTGAAGTGGTATTAAAATATTGCCTGTTGAAAGGGAAGACGGAAAGGGAAGAGACAAAAGGAAAATAATTAATTGGGACACACCAAGGTCTGCCTGCTCCTTTCCCCTCCACAAAACATATTTAAGAACTCCAGGTATCATTTTTATATAACAGCTTACAGGCCACCTTACTTCCGAGAAGAGGACTCAAGGCGGTGCCTGATATTAAAAAGAAGGGAATTAAAAACACAGTAAATTATACATTTTTACTCTGTCTCCGGTTTCAAGGCTGCCTTTTCCAACAGAGGGAAAAAATAAATAAATACCCAAATGGGGTGAAAAGATAACTGAAGGAATTCAACAGGAAGTTTGATGCCATCGCCTGCGGCCTGAATACAGACGAAAGCTTTCTTCACTTCCTTCTTCGGCCGCTTTTAGGAAAGGTGTGAAGGCACTACTTTTTTAGTGGCCTTCCGACCCGTTTCAATTCCTTCGACCGGTTTCAGCCTTTCCCGACAGCGCCACGACCGGATGCTTTAACACTTTAAGTGACGCGAGCAGTGGGATCCTGCCATTTGGTGGAAATGTTTGACTTCTCGTGCGGCTTTTTGTAATCCTGTGGCTCTGGGCTCCTGATTTTCGCGACGCTTTGCCGTGATGGCCAAGCTCTGGCCAAGACCCCCTAGAAGCGGAAAGGAGGGCCGGAAACACACCGAATAAAAACAGGAATAGGAAAAAGACACCCACACCCCCCGGTTGAGGTGTGCCGGCCGTTCCCTTTAACTGGACCCTCCTACCTATGTTGAAGCCTTCAGCACAGCGTGGCTGATGAACCTGGCTTTTTTCTACCTGGGCCATTTCCAGGCATTCCTGCCACAGTCTTTCCAGCTTGTTTTCTGTAAAGGTTCGGTAGGTTGGTGGGTAGAGGGTGGGTGGTCTTGTACAAACCCTGGGGTTCCCCCGAGGCCTGCCTGTCCCTCCCCTCTTGGGTGTGGGTGGCTCTGCTTCGGTGATATGAAGCATCCGAATTGAAAAAAGAAACCCACACAAAAGGATGTGGTCTCCGGCTGCCGGGGCCAGGAGTTCGAATCCCCTTCCCCGGGAGAAGAGCCAGCCTGGGAGGCCTTGGGCAAGCTGCACATTGGTCCCAGGAGAAGGGAGAAGGGTCAGCCACTTCTCTGTATTCGCTGCCTGGGAAATCCTGAAAAGGGTCTCGCCGTCAGTCAGAATGGACTCAGAATGGTAGAGTCGGAAGGGACCCTAAAGGTCATCCAATCCAGCCCATCAGGGAGGCCCAGTGGAAGAATCAAACATCCCAATCTTGGGCTCCACAGCCATATATCTAAACCATGGAACTATCCCACATCGAACTGGACATGATGATTATTATGGATTTCAAGTGAGAAATCAAGTCTGAAGGGAAGACTCTCGTCAAGAGACGAGACACAGCAGAGAGAAGCCGTGTGGTTGGGCAGCCTGGGTTCACAGGGTTGAAGGTCCCCCCGGGAGGTTTCGATTGACCAAGACCCACCGGTTCACCCCACCCTGATCTCAGCTCTCCTTGCAGAAGCGGAGGGAAGCTTGGTCTTCCATGCGCAATCAAGAGCCATTAGCTTGGCAAAAGACCTGCTCCCAGAGGAGCATCAAAAGGGCTAGGCTCGGACCTGTTTGATCCACCCAGGGGGCCTGACTTCTCAGACCCTGGGGGGAAGGCTATCCTGGTGGCGAAGATAAATTATTCTGTCCCTCCCCACAAAAAAAGATGGCGCTGTCACTCAACTCCTAGACAGATGGACAGACAGACATCACATCACACCCTGACTGATTCCATTTCAGGGATTCGGTGCCCTCAAGCCGTTCATCCTCCTTAAACTCCTTCAGAATGGCAGAGGCACCCCATTCGTGTTTCACACAGGCAGAGGTGCGGAGGGGACCTCATTTAGATCAGGGTTAGAACCGGCTGAGAGAGCACAGAAGGATCGGCACCAGAGATCCCACCACCACCCCCGACTCCGGGATTTAACTTCCCGTAAACTTTCCAGGACTTGCCGCCGACTTCAGTGGACAGGAAGGATGGGGGAATGAAGAAGGCTGCCATCTACCAACGTTTATGTCAAATAACCCTTACTGAAAAGTCTTTTAAGAGGCCAACAGAGAGATCAGACAGAACAAAAAGTGTCAGGATCTGACAAGTGTCAGGATCTGACAAGATCCAAGATCATCCATGCCTACTTTATGAGAAAGCAGACGGGCGGGGGGGGGGCAGGATTCTTCCAGGTTTTAAAAAGGCATTTGGCCCAACAGGCCCCACAGCACCCCCTGGGGGGGAAAGGGGGAATTACAAGGCCGCTGATGTCTCTTCACCCCGGGAGACCTCCAGGGCTCATTTCTGCCCTCCTTTGGCCGTCAAAGCACAAATTCAAGGGGTCCGCTGGCTGACGGACGGCCTGGGGGGACGGCATGGGCCGCTCAGAAGGGAAGGAAGGAAATGGGGAGCCCCAAATAGATTCTGCCCCCTGCTCTAAACTCTTGCTCGTTTTCTCCCCACGGCAGGACCCTATCTATCGTGGCTGCCCCATCAAGCCACTCACCTGCCTTTAAAAACTAAAAATAAAGAACAATAAAACCATGGATTCGCTTGTTTTCCTAGAAAGTGGAGGTGGAAGGGACCTCGAAGGGCATCCAGTCCAACCCCGCGGGTTCAAATCAAAGCCACTGAAGCGATACATACACGTTTTCCAGTCGGCTCTGACCCCATGCTATGGGGCAGAATATGAGCAGCACCCTTTGGTTTTGCTTTCTACTGACGTAAGTGGCCTGGGGTTCTTTTTAAGGAGAAAGGCGTGGTGAAAAATATTTCAAATAAATAAATAAATGTTCTGCACCCCGGAGGCAGGGAAGGCTCACTTCCTGGCTTTGCCTCCAAGAGCCGCCCAGTCTGGACGGAACGGTGTGGGAAACGGCTCGGCATGAGCCGAGAGCTTCTCCGGGTGGAGGAAAAGAAAACCAACTGACTGATTGACCAGGTCAGTCCCGTCCTCTGCTGCCCAGGGCAGCTCTTGCAAACTCAGCCTTGGGGCTTCCTTGATGGAGTCCATCCGTTTCACATGTGATATTCCTCTTTTCCTACTGCCCTCCGCCTTCAACAGCATCACTGTCTTTTCCAGGGATTCCTGCCTTCTCGTGAGTTGCCCAAAGTAGGAACAGCCTCAGCTTCATTGTGGGGGGTGTGTGTTTTTTTGCTCCCGGAGATAGCTCAGGCTGGATTTGACAAAGAGGAGGCCAAGGCGGGTAAAAGCACGTTTCCAGAAACCGTTGGGGGGGGGGTGTTGTTTTTTTTGCTCCCGGAGATAGCTCAGGCCAAGGCGGGTAAAAGCATGTTCCCAGAAACCGTTGCCCACGAGAGAGAGACAGCGGGGTGAGAGGGGCCACTTGGGAAGCAAACTGCGGGGAGGGTCAATCAATAAACTCTGCTCAATAGGCAGTACGGGAGGGGGGGGAGAGAAGGAGAAGGAAAGACAAGAGGAACTTCGGTTAACAACTCCCAGGAGGGACTGAGAAAGTGAATTTACAGGAATTCTCTTGAAAGGGGGGAAAAAGCCCATTCCAAGCATGGCCAGATGTGGCGGCCACCCAATTGCGCAGAAGGCAGCTGGACTTCTCGTGCCAAAGTCTTCCTGAATTTGGGCAACCAGGAGGCAAGAGAAGAGAGAGAGAGAGAGAGAGAGAGAGAGACTCTGGACCCGAGTCCCCTTCTCCCTGCGCATGGGGCCAAGACAGGCATTGTCAAGCATGGACCCGCACACCAGACTGAGCCATGCTCAGACTGAAACTCCCCCCCAGCCACTGAATGGACCTGCAGCCGATCCCATTTTAAAGGCTGGAAGTCCTGAAGTTTCTTCCCCTCCACATGACCCTGGCTTTCCCCCATCCACTCCTGCTCACAAGCCCGCTGCCTCGGATCAGGCCTGCCATGAGGAGGGCCAGTGTGAGGTTCCCGCTCAACACCCCTGACCTGGCGCAACACAGAGGGAAGCTGGAGCCACGTCCCGCCTCGGTGGGCAAATGAGTCTCCTATCACTTTGGGAAATAGTTCTTCTTCCCCTCCACATGACCCTGGCTTTCCCCCATCCACTCCTGCTCACAAGCCCGCTGCCTCGGATCAGGCCTGCCATGAGGAGGGCCAGTGTGAGGTTCCCGCTCAACACCCCTGACCTGGCGCAACACAGAGGGAAGCTGGAGCCACGTCCCGCCTCGGTGGGCAAATGAGTCTCCTATCACTTTGGGAAATAGTTCCTACAATGCCCAGAATCCCCCAGCTCCCTGTCGGTGGCATTACCCCCCCCTTTGTGAAATTCCTGGGGCTAGATCTGCTTAATGAGTCTCCTATCACTTTGGGAAATAGTCCCTGGACTACAATGCCCAGAATCCCCCAGCTCCCTGTCGGTGGCATTACCTCCCCCCCCCCTTTGTGAAATTCCTGGGGCTAGATCTGCTTCAGAGGAGCCAGAGAAGCCAGCAAGGCCTTCCGAAAGAGAAAACACCAGCCTGAAAGGATCCTGGCACGTTCCAGGAGGGATGATTTATTGCAGAAAATGTCTTTCTGGTGACCAATCCACTTCTTCCAATGGCGGGCCAGTGGACCCGATCCCCCTCGACTGCAAATGGGCTGATGGAGCCGGCTGAAATCTCTCTCACACAGAAATTGATCGGCGAGTCCATGTTGGCCTCGTTTTCACTTTGCCCCTGAGTTTTTGTCACTACTGAGATTTTCAAAACCCTAAAATCAAGGCTGGAGAGAAGGCGGATCTGGGGAGCTGCCCGTCCCTCAAAATAATTCTTCTGGGCCCATGAGACAGGGTGCGCACCACCATCAGAATCACCAATGGGGCTCCTGGGTCAAAGCAAACCTCTAGCTAGAGCCACAAGGACTAGAAGCTTGAGAGTTTGTTAGAAGGAGGAACGCGGGTTGGTGGTAAAAGCAGCTGTGAGCAGAAAACTGCAGGTCGAATCCCCACCATCTCCAGTTAGAAAAGATCAGGGAAGAAGTGCTGGAGCCTGTGAAACACTTTATTTTAGTTGCCTTTTCAAAAGTTTGAAGTAAGGACACCTAGCATCCTGCTAAGGTTTTGCTGACGGTTTTCGTCTAAGCCACAAAATATTCCAACAACGAAGAGATGAATGCATTAATTTTAACACAGGTTTTCACGGACGATAGTCTGCCTTTTCCAACCCTAATTGGGGTTTTGAGATTGGTGAAAAATTTGAAAAAAGGCTCGCCGTGGGCCTTCCACTCCTCCTGTGAGTTTCTCTGGTCAATCTGGGATTCAAACTCAAGTCTCTCTAGTCCTATTCCAATACTACTGTATCCACCAGGCCTCACTGGCTCTCTAATTTCATTAGCAACATCGGTTAATAAGGCAGGAGTGCTTAACACTGCTGCTGACAACACAACCACCCAGGCAGAAGACCGATGACTCTGGCAAGAGTGGGATGAACAAACCCTGATCTTGGTTCAAACCACTGGGGACAAACTCAAACTTCCAAATGAATGATGAGCCGCAAGCTCTCATCCAGTCCTCCACTGATGTTTTCCTGCCCCACTGACGGCTATTTTTTCATAACGCCTTCTCCGCGTGTCCCCGATCTCCTTTGACAGCCCCTTTTGTGCATGCCTGGGGAAGGACAGACTGGAGGACATACCCTTTTCTGCCCTCTGCCCCACCCACAATACTGCCACCCCAAAAAGGGAAACTCTCCCCATCTCTAAAATGCAACAAAAAACAGAGAAGACGCTTACTGGTTATTGTTCAAGAATGACGGCGCTGTGTACGGAGCCGTTGAATATGGAGTCGGAGTCCACCATTCAGAAGGGGAATTCTGCAAAGACAGGAAGGGAAGGGAAGGGTTAAATCCAGGGGCCAGAATCTGGGCTTAATATTTAGACAACCATCAGCTGTGAGGACTGTGGTCCACAAAAAGAGCCTATGAAAAACAAGGCTGGGATAAATCTAGGCCTGGTAGAACTAAAACACACACACATATATAAAAATTAAGGATGAAAATAAATCCATCTTTTTAAGACTCAGGAGATCCTGAAAGAGGAGAGGTTGAGGAAACACTGAGTCAAAAAGACAGCTGGGTGAACTGCTGGAGAGCTCCCGGGTGGAGGTCTCTGACTGAGGTTCAGAGTTCGAATCCACCACTTGGCCTCTTTGAGAAGGGCTGGGCTGGATGATCCTTACGGGTCCGTCTTCCACCTCTGCCATTCTAAGATGCTGCTGCTGCTGTTATTATTGGCTGAATATGTCAGCCTCCTTGGATCTTTTCATGCACCTGAGCCACACACCCCTCGAAACCATCAGGTTGGCAAAATCAGAGGGGAGGGGAAGGAAAGGGGGAAAAGGAGGGTGGGAGAAAGAGGGCAAACTCTCAGGGCACTTTAAAGATGACCAAATTCCTTCCACCCCCGAAGGGAGGGAGGGCACACTCACCTCTAAGGCAGGCATGCTGAGCTGGGCCTGAACGAGGGGCACCCCGTACAGAGCGGTGCCAGACGGCTGGTGGGTACAGGATGAGTGGTAGCTTCTTCCCCCATCCATGGCCAGGCACAACGCGGGCATCAGGCTTCGGGTTGCTTCATGGAGGATACCAGGCGCTGCCAGGGCCCCAGGAGACGCAAGGAGGAGAAGACTGAGGTTTTATCTAGGCCCATTGCTCTGCCATATGTCCTAAGGAAAGAGAAAGAGGGGTGGGGGAAGGCATCAATGATGTTATTTAGAGCATGCCTACCCTGTTGCTTGGCCAATTGGGCTGCTGGCGCAGCTTATGCACCGGCAGAGAAAACAGGGCCACGCCAGCTCCTGCGGGGCTCACGGGCTGAGAAAGCCACAACATGAAAGGAAAGGAGGTGCAGAAGGATGAGGAAGAAGACAAGCACTCTGCTCTTCAGCAGAGCTGGAGGCCTGGCTCCTTTTCAAGCCTCTTGGGGAGCTGCTTTAGGACAGTCCCAGCAAGCTCACAAGCGACTACATTGGCCGGTAGCTCTCCTGTATTGGTTTTACACAGTGTGTAGGGGCAGCTACCTTTCCTTTCTCCTTCCACTCAGCCTCCTAAGCTGAAGGCGGAGGGGGAACCGGACTCTGTGTGCCCAAGCCAAGCGGCCGTCCGGCAGGCAAGAGGGCTGGAGACTCCCCGATGAAGCCTGGACCCGTGGCAGGCTCAAGCGATCCAAGGACAGAGCCGAAGGCAGGGGCCCGCCGTCGCATGCGTACAGGCAAAAGCAGCGCTCATGCATTCCTCACCAAAGGAGCCACTTCCCTTCATGTGGAATTTAAAGCATTTCTCCAAAAGTGCACCTCAAAGTCTCAGAAACTTGCAATCCCAGAAACCGGGAGGGGGGGTCCAAACCAGTGTAGCGAGCAGCCACCGCCCGACCCGGCAGGCTTTCCGTCGACAAAACGGCCATTCCCTCCGGCTGGTCCGAGTCTGGAAAAGTGGCTGCAGCCAAGGGCAATGATCTCCAGACGACTCCCAGGTTTCCCTGGAGTCACGAAAAAGGTGCGTGACCAGCCTCTGCTCCCGGCCAGCCTCTGGTTTCGACTGATACTTGGAGCTGCGATCACAAAATGTCGCTCCCCTCACATCCCACCCTTTTCCCGAGCGGCGCAACCGGGGCTGGCTGCAGAAGAGCTGGCTGCCATTCCTCAGGTTTAGCGCTTAAAGCCTGACTTGGCACCAGATGTTCATTGTTCTAATGATCTTAGAAAAGCTGAGATGGAAGGGGGATCTCTAAAGACCATCCAGTCCAGCCTCTGTCAAGGAGGCACCGTGGGGGGATTCGAACTCCCAACCTCGGGCTCCACACCCACAGACTTAAACCGCAGAGCTATCCACTCTGAGCCATCAAGTCACAGCTGACTTCCAACAACCCTAGTAGGGTCTGCAAGGCTATGAGGAGTGGTTTTTACTATTTCTACCATCGCCACCTGGTCAGTTTCTATGACCGAGTGGAGATTTAAACCCAGGCCTGGCGCTCTACACCCACTCAGGCAGGTCTACTAGCTGTTTTCAAAGTATGATCCTGGAGGCAGAGGACTGCAATGTATGAAATAAAGATCTTAAGTTATCCAAGTTAAGGAATGAGAGTGCCTCTGAGCATAGACCGAGAGCTTGCCGTCTTTCACAGCCAAAGCCCACTCTCTTGGGATTTTCTCCACCTTTGGTGCTTCCAGCTGCCACAAAATGGCCCAGAGATGTACTACCTTCAGACCAGGTAGATGAAACCAAGCTCTGGCACAGCTAATTGATCATGATAAGAAAAAAAAAGCAGATTTAACTGTTTTCAGGTGAAGGGCCAGGGAGGAGGTTGCCTGCCTTTCCACCTCTGTGACTCTGGGCTGCTTTGCTTCCAGATCAAGGCAGCCTGATTTAAGGTGTTCTACTGAAAAAAAAATCAAGAGCCATTTAAAAAAACCCAAAAAGACCCAGAAAATTAATATTAGAAGAAGAAATGATGATGCCAGCATCTCACAGAACACCTGGTTTTCAAAACATCCCTCTCCTGGACAGCTTTCCACCTGTAAGGCCACAACTTCGTCTCTGAAATATCGCCGTTTTAAAGGAATAATTTGTTTTCACTGAGTTTTTTTATTGCAACACTCTATGGCCCTATTTACAGTATAATCCTTCTTTTTTAAAAAAAATCAGCCGCCTTCGTTCCCCTCCCCCTTTTTTTGGGACAAAAGAGGATCAAAACAGGATCAAGTCCTCCGTGGAAAGATTTAGCCCTCTGGGATCCTTGGGGGAATTAGAACTCTGAAAGTCATCTCTCACACTCAGGCCCGCCAGCCTGGGCTAAGGAGGAGGAGGAGGTACGCCCTGCACATCTGGAGGTGTTCCCTTCAAACATCTGGAGAGCACCTGGGGAGGTGGGGAAAGCGGCTTTCATCAGAGAGGGTTGATTTCACAAGCTCCTGGGGGGTGTGTGTGTGCAGGAGCCGAAATAGCTGACATTCCTCAGAAAGGGACAAAAGTGGTTTCGTTAGAGAGGAACCAGCTTTTGAGGAACCAGCCTTTCTCTCTTTGTGCAGAAAGTAGGGAAGGATCCCATATGTATTAAACCCGCATCAAATCAAACAAGGGTTTGTTTCCCCATTTACCAAGAGGAACTGCCAGCCAGGCCTGGATCAAATCAAGCCTGCACATTCTCTCTCTCCGGAAGGCAAAAAAGGTTGAAAACAGAGGCTGTCCTCCTTTGGTCACCTCGTGAGAAGGCAGGGTTACCCTGGAGAAGACCCTCCTGTTGGGAAAAGGGGGGAAGGCAGCAGGAAAAGAGGAAGACCCCCGTGTGAGAGGGACGGACTCCCTAAAGGAAGCCACGACTTTCAAGTTTGCAAGAGCGGAGCAGGACCGTCAAAGACATTCACAGAGTCAACACAAGTTGGAGGAGCCTTGATAGCACACAACAACAACAACAACAACAAATATTTTAGTCCAGCCCAGCTTGACCAGTGGTTGCCAACGGTCTGTCCCCAGAACACCTTTGCAATGCCTGGGTTTCCCAGCTGCCGATGACGCTGGGCCCCCCTCCCTAGCGAAGCTTTGTCGACTGTAGAAATGTCAACCGCTGCAGTCCAAAAACCACAAGGAAGAAATCAAATGATTTTATGGCACGTTTGGGAAGCATGTAGCCCAGTGGGGGTTCCTCCACCACAAGTCCCATCATCCTGCCCTGCTCTAGATAATTAGCGGCCGCCGAGTCCATTTCTGCCAGGAAGGGATGGGAAGTTTTAAATCACTCGCTAGGTTTTTTTCCTCGAAGCGAGAGACAAATGGGTGTCCTTTACGAGCGAGCGGTCGCTCTCGCTTTTTAACGAGGCCATAAAAGGTGTCTTTTTAAAAGACAGCCACAGGTTCCCTGCTGCCTTTAACAAGCGCACCCAAACAGAGTGTGGTTTATGGAACTCA